GGATCAGGCTCAGGCACTGGAGCCGAGCATCTAGATGAATAGATGAGGGAGTTCATCTCATCTAAGATCATGCGTTGTATCATTGACCAGAATCCTGTGATCTTCGGTATGATCAAGGGGGGTATCTTATTGCTTTTGGATGTGAGACTGAGTGCATTCTGCACCGAGGTAGAAACGATGATGGAGTTGTACACGTTAACGTTCAGGGAATTTAGAGCTTGTGGAGCTCTCGACTATCATAGGGCTCGGGACCCCATTTCTAGCACCAGGTGGTTGACGGATGTCGCCAACGCCTTTCGTACCAGTAGATGTCCCAAGGAGGACAAGGTCCGATTCGCTTCCTATCTTCTATAGGACAGGGCACGTGACTAGTGGGAGGAGGTTAGGCATGCTATTGGTGAAGCTGCCCTTGACACTATGACCTGGAGTGACTTTATGATGACGTACAGGGCCGAGTTCGCACCTGTGATTGAGGTGCACCAGCTAGATAGGGAGTTCCAGGATCTCCAGCAGATGACTGAGAGAGTGACTGAGATCACTGCTATGTTTAGGGAGACAGCTCTTCTCGTTCCACAGTACATGGCAGATGAGGAGATGAAAAAGGCTAGATACCATGAGATGTTGTCGAAGTCCTGGTACTGAAAAGCCCGACCGACTCCTCCCAAGTCGCCGTTACAGCTGTTGCAGCTGCTGCAGCAGCCATCTCAATATCAAATAATTGCATGGTATTTTGGGGTCTACTTACAGGCTCTGGCTGATCATACACTCTGCATCCTCCTTTAATTATTTTGAAAACCATTTGAAAATCTTATACTTAGTTTGAGACTTGATTGACATGAGTGTTCCTCTAATTCACTCAAACTAAGGCTCTAATACCAACTTGTAACACCCTTAAAAAGCAAGCCAATTTAAAACCTTTTCAACCATTCAAAACCATTAAGTTATTACAAAGTGTTTTGAAAATAGTTTAAAATCAGAGTATGCTAGAACTCCATATTATAAAAATGTGAGGAGGTGCACGATCACGCCTTCGCCTTCCTGTGATCATTTCAAGTACCTGAAACAAAATCCAAAACTGTAAGCCTGAAGCTTAGTAAGTTCCCCCAAAATACCCATACACACAACAATATACATATAATCACAAATAACATACTATGGGTCCAATCAACCATCGGGTTGGAATATCCCAACCCACAACCATTGGGTTGGAATTCCATATCAACCATCGGGTTGGAATACCCTAGGCCCTCAACCATCAAGTTGGAATCCCAACATACTATGGGTCCAATCAACCATCGGGTTGGAATACCCCAGGCCCTCAACCATTGGGTTAGAATGCCAACATACTATGGGTCCAATCAACCATCGAGTTAGAATTCCCCAGACCTTCAACCATCGGGTTGGAATGCCAACATACTATGAGTCCAGTTATCCTCAAGATGGAATATTGACGCTACAAATCAAACATGTGCACCGATATCAGGTAATCATATAACAGTCTACAGAGACAATATACTAGGGTCCAATCATCCACAACATGGAATACCCTTAACTACCAATCAAACATGTGCACATATAACAAGTAATCACATAACAGTCTACATATAGTCGAACCGATCTATGGATCTCTAATCATAGCAACATCCTATCTACCAAGATATTGATCTAACCGATCTAACTAATAACAAAGCAGGATAACAATCCAAAGGGCTGACCTTGGTGCCTTCGACCATTGCGTATAGTGAGGAAAACTCACCTCACAATCTCGAACTATAGTGATAAGATCAAATTCCTGAATCACAGCCACAAACTCCACCACCTATATCCACCGTAAGAATAAGTCCATCAAAGTCCTAAATTACCATAATACCCTCAGGAGTCAAACTTGGTCAACCCTTTGTCAAAGTCAAAGTTAACGGTCAAGGTCAACACTTCATGTTGACCCAACTCGTCGAGTGCAGCCTACTGGCTCGCCAACTTCCTTCAGAACTCAGAAACCGTGAAAAGTCAAGTCAACTCGCTGAGATGCCAACCAACTCGTCGAGTCCATGCAATGTCTATAATATCAGGGAAAAACCGTAACCACTCATCGAATGACCTCATTAACTCATCGAGTTCATGTAGAATCCAGAAAACGGGGAAGCTCGTTTCAACTCTTCGAGTTGGCTTATCCAACTCATCGATTTCATGCAGTCTACTTCTTATCCAGACAATTCCAAGCTACTCCAAAGCTCCTTGTAGATCTAGCCTCCTAGAGCATGGTTTCCACGTAAAGTTGCAAACTTTACGTACATGCAAGGTCCTAAATGCCAAAGCTAAGCTAAGGGAGAGGTTTAAGCCAAAGAGAAGGGCCCAAGCTTGATAAATTTAATAAATTTATGGCCATAAGGAATTAGAGGAGTCCAGATATGAAGTTACAACTTCAGATCGTACCCAATACCCAAAATGATCCACAAATATGCTAAAAATCGCCTTAAACAAAGAAAAAGGAGATCTAACACTATAATGATCAAGGTAACATCTTGTTACCTTCAAATGGTAGCCAAAACGTTGTAGATGCTGGATCTACAAGCTCCTTCTCGTTCCAAGCTTCTCACTCTTCAAGTTTCCCTTCCAAAATCAACAAATAACACCTTTCGAGTTGGGGTCCTCCAACTGCTAGTAATATGCCTTAACCAATACACAAGGTATATCTTGGTTTCCCTAAACAATCCTGATGAGAAGCCCTTGGGGAGCTACATAATCGTGAAATATGTCGAAGCGTAAGAAATATTATAATTTAGTATTTACAACTGTTATATCTTTCTATGGGTTTTTTAATTTTTTATAATCTTCATTTTAGTGTTGTTGCGAGGTTTAAGGAAGGTACTGACACAACACATCCAATGAATTGGATATTTTTCAAGGTAAAAGTTTTTATGAGTACCCTAAACTTGGTTGTTGTCTAAATTTTTTAAATAAAAACTCATACATGAACCTATTTTGGTAACAAAACAAAACCAAAAACAAAAAACAAAAACTTGTTCCAACCTTAGATCAAAACCATAGGTTCAAAATAAAAGTACCTTTAATCCTTTAATGTTCATATTAAAACCTTATGCTCAAATTAAAAGTACCTTTAATCCTTTAATGTTCATATATGTATTGCAACCGACAACCTTTAGGTAGGAAGTATGGTTTTTACGTCATGAGATGGATGTTTAAGTTTTATTGAATTGACAAAATGAATTCCCAAACAAAGTAAGTATCTTAAATCCTTTTGCAATTTGTCTAATATGTTAAATTTTCTTTTGCTAAATTATAATTTATATTTTAATTTATATATAGAACATGTGGAACGATACAAAATCATATTCGGATTGGGTGTTAAATAAAAATTTTGTTGTATGTAGTTCAAGGTTTGAGAGTAAGTATTTGAGTCAAATGCCCATTTGAAAGGTTAATTATTCTTACCTAGTTGTTTATCATAACATTGTACTTTAATGATTTGACTATTGTAACTTTGCACTTACATTTCTTTCTATACATTGTACCTAAAAAATCAAAGACTTTGTACTTTGAAAAATGAACACATTGTAGCATTGTACTTTAAAACCTTTTTCTTATTAGAACTTTGAACTACGAAAAATATAATCATAAAAAATAATTTGAATTTGGAGGATCTTGTTATAATGGGATTGATTTCTCAATGCATAACCGTAGGAAGAAATGGGAATGGATGTTTTAATTAAAAATAATAATAACTAAAAGTATCTTGCTATTTTCTGCAATTAACACTTTTTTTGGACGGTTATATATTCCCTTTTTTTCCAATAGTTGCAACTTTTAAGCTCTTTGTTTGTTTTATGTCGAGGCAGGTGGCTGAAATTATTGAGTTTGACATCTACTAATATGAATCTATTTGTCTTTTTATATAATAATTTTTTATTGATTAGGATGGGCAAATTGGATGTATTGCATATTATGTTTGAATTGGCTATTGTTAATTTTAGAAATTAATGATTAGTCATGTTTTTTTTTTTTGGTTTGTGGATATATTCGGTTTTTTCATGAAATGTTTACATGTACAAATTATTTATAGGCAATTTTTTTATAGAAAAGTGTATTTATTGTATTTGTTTTATAAAATATATTTATTTAGAATGCAATAACAAACCGTACTTTATAATATTTTATAAGGAGTGATTATATTGAAAAAGCAATATTCTATCTATTTTGTTAAAGAATAAAGCTACCTAAAAAAAGTATTTCATGATGATCATAGACTAGGTTTTTGCATCAGTGTTGTATTGTCTAAAAAATAGCACTTTATGATGATTGTGGAGTATGGTTTTGCAGCCGTACTGTATTATCTAAAAAATTGTAATATATAATAATTATAGAATATGATTTTTCAACTGTATTGTATTACCTGTTCAAAGCTTCAAATACGAAACCCCTCTTATTGAGTACGGCTAGAAAACCATATTCTATGTTTCATTTTAACAATATTCTATCTGTCATTTTGTAGTAGTGCCGGTATATGCATTTTTAGTGCAGTTATACATAAACCGCATTAAAAAATCATGTTCTAATTGTATGATTTATAAACCTTTGGACCAAATAACAATGTCTAATGGTGCGATTTTGAACATGCGCACCAATAAACACATTTTAATGCGGTTATATAGAAACCGCACCAACAAATTCTTTAAATGGTACAGTTCGTTGGTTTATTGATGCAAAAATAGTTGTAGATTGTTTAATAATGTTGTTTAAGGCTACAACCGCACCAATTAAAAAAATCTATCACATTAGTAAATATGTTTTGTATTAGTGTTAATTATAATCTCAAGAAAACCAAAGTATCTTCCATAAACTCAAAATACGAGATAACACACCATACAAAGCTCAATCCCATCTCTCTACTTGTTACCCATCAACAACACCATACAAACGACAATAATACCGGATTATTATTATGTATACACATATGATTCATCATAAAGATACTATAGGATCTAATGATGTCCAGGAAGCTTCTCTTTGATCTTCTCCATCACCCCTTTCTTCTCATGGGTTTCTCGTCCTTCCATATAACCACCACCACCAACGCCACTTGTTGTTGTCGTGGACACACTTTGATGCCCATCCGTGTTGTGATCACCTGGAAGCTTTTCTTTGATCTTCTCCATTACCCCTTTCTTCTCGTGGGTTTCCCCTCCTTCTACATAACTGCCACCAATGCCATTGTGGCCTCTTGTTGTTGTTGTGGATACCTTATGATCCTCGTTCGTGTTGTGAACTCCGGGAAGCTTTTCTTTTATATTTTCCATCACCCCTTTCTTGGCGTGGGTTTCCTTACCTTCTCCATAACCACCACCACCACCAACACCGCCTATTGTTGTTGTGGAGACCCTTTGATGTCCGTCCGTGTTGTGACCACCAGGAAGCTTTTCTTTTATCTTCTCCATCACCCCTTTCTTCTCGTGGGTTTCCCCTCCTTCCACATAACCGCCACCAACGCCATTGTGTCCTCCTACCGTTGTTGTGGACACCCTTTGATGCTCGTTCGTGCTGTGAACACCGGGAAGCTTTTCTTTTATATTTTCGATCACCCCTTTCTTGGCATGGGTTTCCCTACCTTCTCCATAACCACCACCACCAACACCCCCTGCTGTTGTTGTGGAGACCCTTTGATGCCCGTCCGTGTTGTGACCACCAGGAAGCTTTTCTTTTATCTTCTCCATCACCCCTTTCTTCTCGTGAGTTTCCCCTCCTTCCACATAACCGCCACTAACTCCATGGTGGCCTCCAGTCGTTGTTGTGGACACCCTTTGATGCTCGTTCGTATTATGACATCCAGGAAGTTTTTCTTTGATCTTCTCCATCACCCCTTTCTTCTCATGGGCTTCCCCTCCTTCCACATAACTGCCACCAACACCGCCTGCCATTGTCGTGGACACCCTTTGATGCTCGACCGTGTTGTGACCACCGGGAAGCTTTTCTTTAATCTTCTCCATCACCCCTTTCTTCTCGTGGGTTTCCCCTCCTTCCCCATAACCACCAGCAAAGCCACCTGCCTTTGTTGTAGACACCCTTTGATGCTCGTCCGTGTTTTTACCACCGGGAAGCTTTTCTTTGATCTTCTCCATCACCCCTTTCTTCTCGTGGCCATCTTGATCGTAGCCTGTCCCAGTTCCCGTGCCAATGCCTGCTCCCGTACTAGTAAAAGGGATGCTAGAGTGAAGTGGATTTCCGTACTCATCAGTTTTCAGAACATGGTTACCATACTCATCTGTTTGCTGACCTTCTCTTCCGTATTTTTGATCTCCTGCGTATTGTGCCATTTTTCTTTTCACTCGATAAGGTATAGATGAAGCTAGAAAATGTAGAATTGAACACTTGGTTAGTTTGTGATTTTCTTGTGTTTTATTTTATGAGATTTGGGGGGGCTTTATATAGGGGAAAGTGAGATGATGAAAAGCTGGTATACGCGGTGAAATGAAGATGCGCATCTGAGAGAACCACACCTTGTAATCATTATATTATGGACTCGTGTTTTTTAATACATACACAAAACGAATGGATTCTAAACCTACATATATTATATTATAGATAAGTCATAAGAGTCAATTTGTGAAGTCACGCCGTGTCGACAAGACTGTTGGTTCGTCGACATATTTCATGTCGGTAAGTTTTGTTTACAATATTGGTTAATTATTTCCCCACCACACATAAAAGAAAATATTGTAATATCAGCCTCAAATCATACCACCTTCTCATGAATAAAAACAGTCGATCATTCCAGCGTTCCTATTTTTGTATTTAATAAAACTAATATTAATTTTTTGAACGTATTAGTGTATTAGTGGTAAGAAGTTAAATTCACAAATTTAGTTAATGGGTTTATTTCCGGATTTGAACCCTAAACCTACAATCTAAAGATCCATCTCTACCAAGTGGGTTAATTTCATATTAACAACCAAAATTAATTGAAAAAAAAAATACATCATTGAATAATAAATTAAAAAGTTACATTAATTTAGAAATATAAAATACTAGATGTGAGATCCGTATAATACACGATTTAATTAAAAAAAAATTAAATATCAAATTGTAATCGGTTTGGTTGCAACATACATCTTGCTCAACCCTAATTTGATAATAGTTAGATACTATTATATAAAAACTTTATCATCTCCCTACCTAATAAAATAGTAGCAAAATTGTCACGTGTCAATCAATTAGAATTTGAATTAATTATTTGTCACTTGTCAGTTTTTGGTTTTTCCTCATTTATTACATTTCCACTAATTCACTCCTTCCTTTTACACGGATTAAACACGTCAGCAAAAAATTGATTTGTAATATCTACTGCCTAATTTATTACAATAAATATTTAATCTATTTTATAACCGTGGTTCCCACGGGTATTAACCTAGTAAACAATATTCATTGCATATAATAGTTTTTTAAATGCGTAATTAAAAAATATTTAATTTTATTTATATTATTTTCTTATTTCATATAATAACAAAATTAAAAAAGGATAAAATTACTCAAAGCCTTAGGTTTCTTCTATATTACATTCAATATTCTAGTTTTGAGAGTATGTTTTTTATAAAAATGAATAATATACTAATACTAATATAGTAATATAATAGATTTTTATATTTTATTATTATAAAAAATCATTAATGAGAGAAGAAATAAGAATATAAAAAGGAAGATGCAGGGACTATATTTACCTAAAAAAATCCATTAATTTTGTTTCCTAATTTATCGATATTAAAATACAATAGGTAATTTTAAATCTAGAAAGTGAATTATTAATATTAATATATATTTATTACCATATGGAATTTAATATAAATATAAAAAATCAGAAAATAACATATGAGTATAATTTAATCTAAAATTGTCACAAAATGTCATGTGATAAAATGAATGAGAAAATGATAAATATCAAACATAATTTTCATTTATTAGAGTATACTAGATGTGAGACCTGCGTATTACACGGGTTGGTTTAAAAAAAGATTAAACATTAAATTAAAATGTAAACCGAAAATATTTTTTAATGTACAACTTTAAAATAAGAAAGAAAGATACATATTTATTGCAATTTAATATCATATATATGATATTTAATATTTTACATATATAATTATCACTTTAATTTTAAAAATTGAAACAAATAAAAAATTGACAAGTGAATAATATTTATTTCAAAAATACCACAAAATTACAAGTATCAAAACTCATGAGAGATTGATATATGAAAAAAAAAAAAAAAAAAAAAAAAAAAAAAAAAAAAAAAAAAAAAAAAAAACCCTTCATTTATTATGGAGGATATGAAGTATAATTTTTTAGGGTAAATTATGTCATTCATCCGTCGTCCATGTGTCAAAGTGTATATTTAGTCCATATTTTTAAAAATTAACTCGGACCATCGAGCAATTATTTTTTTCTTGCACGCTTAGTACCTCCATACACAAAGAAAAAATCATTTCGCCTTATTAATTTGTTTTGATTTGTTTATTAATTATTAATTAGTAATCTATTAAAAAACTGTTTAACTAAATATAAACACCACCACCACCATTGTTATATATTTTCTCATCTTCTTTCTCAACTCTGACAACCACCACTTATCACCACCAGAAACCACCACCTATTACCACCGTTAATCACCACTAAAAACCAACACCCATCACTCATATTTCTCTCCCACTACCAGCCACCATCCACCTCTAGTGCTTCCACCAATCGACTACCATCAGAAACGACCATCTACCACCACTTAACCAAACCAAACCAAACCTGAAATCCTAGGTGGCTATCAAAACCATACGTAACGGTGTTAAAGAACCTCAGATCGGAACCCAGAGATGGTGAAGGTGGCGACGTTCCAACCCTGATACAAAGGTTCGAACAAACTCAACTATGAGACGAAAAAAGTACACATCATCCTCTGGATATGTGAGCTTTGACAAGATACCACCTTCATCTCCCGATTTGCAAGTCCATCGAATCACCACTTCGTGATCTGCATGCTCCAGCAAACATGTGGTGATGAAGATGAAGGTTTTTGTCACACCCCAAAACCACAAACGGCGGAAACGTTCAGGGGTGGAGGATGTCATGTACAGTATCACAACAGTGTAAAATAGTAAACAAGCAACAACATCATCCATTGCATTATAAGTAAAGTTTTAATACATGTGTGTTCTTTCATTGTAATAAGACACCAAAAATATATAATCAAAATAAAAGACGAGACTTGTCTGCTCTGTCTTCTCAAAACCTGGCCACCGTACCTGTCTACTGATGACCTGAGAATACAAGTTATTTTGAAAGAGAGTATCAGCTTTAAAGGTGGCGAATTCATAAGTATTTAAGTGTCATTGTCTTGCTTTGATAAACTATTATGAATGTCATGTAAAACCTTTAAGTAAGACAGTTGATATAAGTATGAAAATCCCTAAGAAATCCCTTATTTCCTACTAGTATGAAATGTAGTCTTCTACTAAGACCCGAATGTTTTGTAAGTAAAATGATAGTTTTTCCTTCTATAGACTAGTACTAAAGTACTTAGTCTAACTCATCGTTTATGTGAAAGTATCACAAAATAAAATAAACAGGAAAAAGTATAATAATGTAAGTATTATCCCTGGATTACCAAGACTAACACAACATCGCCGAAACGAAAGGTATAACCTAATGAACATCCGAAGATTGTCAAATTAACCCCTGTAGCGAACAGTGGTTCCAGGAATGGTTAGTCCCGTAACTGACTCTACATCGCTGTAAGCGAAATAGATAACCTAATGAACATCCGAAGATTGTCCAATTAACCTCTGTAGCTAACAGTAGGTTCCAGGAATGGTTAATCCCGTACTGACTCCTAATATAAGTAATAACAACCAAATGAACATCCGAAGATTGTCTAATTAACCTCTGTAGCGAACAGTGGTTCTAGGAATGGTTAATCCCGTAACTGACTCCCGTTGAACTGGGATGGGCTGGATGATTTACTGAAGTTACTAATAAATCATCTTTACAAATCGAGTTTCAAGTATTCATGTAAGTATTCACAAGTAGATGTATCTACGTAAAGGTATTCATGTAATGTGTTCATGTAAGCGTATTCATGTATCATATAAGCATATATAAAGGTACTCATGTATCAGGTAATGTACTCGTAAAGACTCATGAATGAACTGACTCTTGTGTGATTCCTTGTAATAGGAATAATGTTTGATATCTTCTAGCTATCCCTATGATAGTTGATTGAAAGGTAATTGGTTGTTCAAGAAGGTAAAGGTAATGGTTTTGCAAGATATCTAAGAGTTTTGAACAATAATTAAGAGTGACTTGATGTAATTTTAATAAACTTTTCAAAACTAATACTTTTGTTATCAAGGTATTTTAAGATAGAAAACCATTTCATGTGTCCCATTTTGTAGTATGAGAAATCTGTTGAATGAAAACACAGTTATAAAATACATATAAATGATTTAATAACACGTTGTTTCTACTTGCATTCCCCCCCCCCTCCCCCCATTAAAGCATTTAAAAATCATTTAAAACATTGATTAGGGGTATGAACTCACCTGTAGATGGTGGTTTGGATGAACTGGATGGTGCATGATTGTTAGGTGTCAAGTGAGGACTTGTACACACACTAAGATCCTAATGAGCATATAATCACACATATATGCACTCAATTAGGCTTATTTACTAATTGATAATGTTAAGACATCCTAGAACATAATAAACACTTTATATAAGTGTTTTAAGCCCTAAGGATTGCATCTAAGCTATTGTGGGACAAGGTACTTGGGTTTAGGGTTCCAAAGGACCCCATATATGAGTTTACTCTCCATATATCATCACACATGGAGTTCACGGTTGTAAACTCTTGAGTTTACGGCTGTGAACTCACAATCTTGGTGATATTTTGTGTTTTGAAGTCCCAAATGATCCCTAGAATTATTCCAACTTGGTGGTTAAATCCTTGGAAGGGTTTAAGGTATAGAAACACCCCTTTGAGGAGTTTACAGCCCTAAGGCCATTTCACTTAGAGTTTGCGGCCGTAAAATCTTAAGAATCGGTGTTTTGATGCTTTTCAAGTCTTATTCACATGTAGTATAGGTCTCAAACTTTTATTCCAAGCATATCAAGGCCTTTGGCACACTTTGGTGCCTTTGTTTGATGTTCACGGACCAAGAACCTTATTAGGGTCGTGAATTCATTTTGAGGGGTGTTCTTGATGTGTTTTAAGGCCCTTGATTAAATGGGAAAAAGTCTATGTAAATGCCTAAGGCTTTAGGTGCCTTAAAAG